AAGGTTGGACAGCGGACTCTCGGGCCTTTTTTTCTTCTTTTTCCTTTTGTGTTTTTTTTTTCTTTGTTTTTCATTTTGTGTGGAGTGTAAAGTATTATTAATCCTTATTGTTTAAAATGCATGGACACTGCTACTTGAGCCTTCATTTTTCTTTTCTTTTTTATTTTTTTTGTGTAGAGTATAAAGTATTCATTCTTTTCTATTTGTAAATAACAATATTATTAGCATAAAATATGTCATTATGTATTTTAAATCTTTTATTTAGTTACTGTTTGGCTCTTCATTTCAAATATTCAAGGCAGGAAAACTATATTTCTGCCATTATATTATTATTAATTAATTTTTAATTTTTTTTAAATATGTAAATTATTTATATTTTGAGGTGTTTATGATTATAACTTAAAAAATATATTAAAGTGTATTACCAATAATTTTTTATGTTAATAGCAGTTGGTCAAAACAACTAACATTATCAAAACAGTTAACACAATTTGCTAACAGCTGATTACCAAACAAGGCCGCATTGAATTAACTATGTGTATTTGAAAGCAATGTTGTATATAAAAATGAATTGATTGGATATTTTGTACCGGAAGTGTCTTCATTTGAGGATATTAATGAATTAGATGGATGAGGTAAGGAGTGGTCATATATACTGAGGTTGGATGGATAAAGGATTTCTTCCTCTAGTTGATCTTCTAAGAAAGGTATAGGTGAACTGTGGTTGGTTTGGTTGTTATTTTGGATCACTGTGTGTCTTGTGTCTGATCTCTGATCTATGTTCTGAGGGGATGAGGTAGTTGTAGTAATAGGGCTCTTTTGGTTTGGTAATTGAATTGTTGGTTTTGACTTATCGAAGGAAACTGAAGAAGGTGATGAGAACATGAGACCGGTCATTAGAAAGGAAATGAGTATGTTTGAAAGGTAGGAAATGAGTATGTTTGAAAATTAATATTTGCTTAGTATCCAAATTATAAAGTCTATAGCCTTTTCAACCTAGTGGATATCATTTTTGGACATTAATATTTGCTTGGTATTCAAATTTTGAAGTATATTTACAACCTAGTGGATATCTAAGTAAGATGCAATTTGATGCTCTAGAATCAAATTTTTATCTATGGTAGATGCATAACAATGACAACCATTATAAGTTTAAAGGATAGGTTGTTTGCCATATAGTTTTTCAAATGGAGATATGTTTTTATGAATTGAAGATGACAATCTGGTAAATTCATTTTAAAGATACCTTAATTACTCAACCATGTGAATTGACTGATTTACCCAAATATGTGATTTAGTAAAAAAATTCCAACTAAATTGTATAATTTATTATTTAACAAGTGCTTTATATTTTTCGTGTAATTCTTTTTTAATATACCTTAATTATGCAAATTGTGTAAATCGCACTAATTTATATAATCTGTAAATAATTACGATAATTATGGAAATATCGACAACAATAATTAATTATGCGGTTTGCAAAGAATTATTCAAAAAAATTGTGTTAATGACAGTTTTTATTGAAATATCATTTAATAAATATTATTCATATTTTGTGTATTTAATTGCTTAAATCGTGGATAATTAAGGAAATAATTAGACCACAAAAATTTACATTTTTAAGATACCCTAATTATGCAGATCGTGTAAATTTGGCTGATTTTATTCAATTATAATTTTTTATAAAATTATTCTAGAATAATTGTGTTAATGACAATTTCTATTTAACTATTTTTTAATAACTATTTTTTGAGTCTTTTTTTATTTGTATCTAAAATAAACGTGAGTCTTGATTTTGTTTTGTACGTTGGGCAATTAATTTCGTGGTTAAACTGAATATCATTTTTTTATAATTTATCGATAAAGTATGAAATCGAATTATTTAGTATACTATATATTGATCCATTATATCTGCTTATACTAATAAATGGTATCTTAATATTTTTTTTCTCATATTGCTAACTATTTTACTCGATATTAATGAAAGAAAAATCTGGAGAATATTATGGTCGATTCTTCTTAGTAAAGGTGTGTGTGTGATTGTATTTACTTAAATCACATTTTAGTTAAATTGAATTTCTAAATAAAAATTTTAAAATGACACCTATTTTGAAATGAATATAATGTAACTTATTATCAGTTACTTGCACCGTACTAGTTTAGTTTTAAATAAACATGTTTTATGTAATTTTTCATAATTTAAATTTCATATAACATTTCAACAAATTAATACAAGTAAATTGTATTACATATTGATTCCATATTTCTAATTTATAAATATTATTTAATAAGCATTTATAATTTATAAATATTAATGAATATTTCTTACCCGTACATCGCACGGGATTCGTACTAGTATTCACACCGTACGGGTTTAGTTTTCACTTGCATTTCTCCTAATTTAGATGAATAAGAATACACCAATATTGAAATCTCCATTAGAATTGAGATGTCACCTGTGTTTTCCTCATTTAGAAGAATAGAGTACACTTGACCGAAATCGCCACGGGCATTGAGACCTCACGAGGTTCTGTTGGTTCTTAATCTCTTCCATGGGCGGAAGAAGAGGATAAGGTTCTTCCCAGAGATGAAGATAAGGTCAACACAGAACGGTGCAAAATACACAATCAGTCCCTCGTTAACTATGAGATTGTTTTAGTAAATAATATTTAAATATTGAATATTGATGTTGTATTCGTAAAATAAAAATATCAACTAGTATACATTCCAGTTTTCTTTTACCATAGCTAAAACTTGTGAATTTAATTAATGACAAATGATTGATTTATTATTTTTTAATAAAATTTCAAAGATAATTTTTCTCGTATACTTGAATTAAATTAGAAAAAAAACATAGTTTAATGAAAAGACTATTATGTGATGGTGTAATAGTGTCATTCTTGTTATAATACCATTTAAAGTTCATGTCATTTCATTTAATATGCTACTACACAAATAAATGAGATATCAATGAATATCGAAACTAACTTATGAAATATATAAATTTAGTTACATACTAATTATTATAATGGAGTCTAGCACAATCAAATATTGTCTTAGATACAATTAATAAAATAAATTAAATAAGCAGCTGAACTAACTCAACTAAGTAACAAAAAGTAAACACAAAACAAGACGAAAAAAGGCAGAATAAGATAAAAAGAAATGTGAAAAGAGATTAAATTATGTTTAAGTATATAACTTTTTGATTCAATATAAAATAAATTCAACTTATTATGGGCTAATGTAAGATTAACACATATATGATCAAATATAGTATAAAGTAAAATATTTTCTTATTAGTGTAAATTTAGCATTCTCGAAAAGTTAAGAACGGGCTGGTTCCACCCCTACTTTCATGTCTAACCATGTGTTTTTTTTCAAAAGAGAAAAAAATAAAAAGAAAAAATAATCCAATTTTTGTGGATCAAACATTCAACAACAAATTTAATTGTCCACATCTCTGTAGTCCACTGACTTCCGAATAGCTCTCTCCACTTTAAATAGCCAATCCAACTAAACCGTTACAAGACACTTGTGTGCGTGACATGTGTGCACTAAAGCAACAAACCAAACAACATTTCACTTGCAGCAGACACGTGTCAAGATATGAGCTGGCTTGATATGTCTATAAATAACTTTGCCACCAGAGCACTTCAAATCACACAAGAATTCACACGCGTTTAATACTTTGTCATTGAATTGGAAGTTAAACAATTTAATTTATTGTATAATGCAGAAAATGGACAACTCCAACAGCATGAGCTACCAAGCTGGCCAGGCCAAGGGCCAAACTCAGGTTTTATTTTTAAGCTTCATTTAGCTTTTCTTTTGTTTTTAGACACGTGGAGCAATACAATAAAATAATGAAATGTCAACGAAAATATATTCATTCCAACATAATGAATATTATGATTTTACTACTTTCGTTTGAATTTTTTAGCTGATTCTAATTGAAATTTCTAAGCAAATAGTTCTTTGGAATTGGTTCTTTATCGATAGAGTTTTTGTTACTTTAATGATTCCAACAAGTTGAAATATGACCAAAAATCGTGTATTCAACGAAAGTTTCTGCATCAATAACCTATTTAAAAAATAGTTGTTAAAATTATCAAATTTCAGGTAAATTGTCAATGGAAATTCAATTCCTTCTGGAAGTTTGAGTATTGATCCCTATTGAAATTTTCAAACTATACTATTGGAATTTTCTTTAAAATATTTGTGGTTGGAACATGATTATTTTTATGTTTTTATTTTTTTTAGTAGTGGAGCGCACACACAATATACAAGTAAAATCAGATATGAACCATATAATATGTATACACACGCACACATTAATTTTGTAAAATTCTAAATCAATATGCAGGAAAAGGGTAACCAGATGATGGAGAAGGCTAGCAACGTTGCACAATCAGCTAAAGAATCAATTCAACAGGTAAAATTAAAGAAATTTACATGTTTATATTACATATATATAGTTCAAAAATTATATTCATAATTTAAATAGTCTCGGTTAGTTATGTATATACATTATATTACTGTAATAGAATTGTTTGACATATTTGAATTGTTTTCTATAGGTAGGGCAGCAGGCGCAGGCCACGGCACAATGTGCAGTTGATGCTGTGAAGAATGCAACTGGAATGAACAAATGATGGTTTTAATTAACAGCTTTTATTATGATAGGCATTTTAATTTATATTAGTTATGATTGTTTTAGTTCACAACTTTTATTATGATAGGCATTTGAATTTATTAGTTATTTTATTATTTTTTAATTGGGTTAGTTTTCTGAGCTGCTGAGAATGTTGGGCTTGGAACTCGATTGCTAATTGCAATATTAAAATATCTTTTAATTCAGTGTAGCCAAAAATATTGGAACTATAGCAATTAATATGTTCCTGAGCAATAGCGGAGCTAAGATTTTAAAATATTTGGAGCTAATGAAATTGCGATCTCCAATTCTTTTTAAATTCAAACTCAACGATTATAATATCATTACTAATCTTTCTTTTTCAATGTAATTAACCATTGAATTCGCCAAAAACACCTCTTTCATCTTATTATGAAGAAATGTCTTAACAAGTTTTATAGCCAAAATGCTTTCTCTGTGGTTGTCGTAGACACATGGAGAGTAAAAACAAGACGAATTAACTTATCAAATAAATATACTTGCCTCAAGAACTAAATTGTAATATGTTAAAATTTTTAAAATTGAGATAAGTCCCTAGAACTTATCTAATTTAAAAAATAAAAAGTAAAATCTTTCAACAAATCATCCTCACCCACCTCATCATCGTCATTCATCTCCCTTCCCAATCGAATCCCCATTTGAGTAGTTAATGACATCCACTATGCAGAAGGGACAAAGAGGGGGTGATTCACGCGCTAGTCATTGAAGAGTGAGGTCAATTGTTTCACGCGAGATCTACTCTGCGGACGACGGCGAGGAGGCTGCAGAGGCAGGGGTCGAGGGAGACAGTGAGGAAGAGGGAGGAGTCGCATCAAAGACTATACGCCGTAAGGTGGCTGCAACGCCGCAGAGAGCAAATTAGGGACGACCTTGCAGCAGATGGATCGGGGATAATAGCCATCAGATTGAGAGCTTGAGGTGGTAGTGGTAGCTGGGGGATCTACAACAGGTTCCGGAATGACGGCGGGATGAAGAGTGGTGGCGGCAAAGGCAGAAGCTGGAGATCGATGGCGGGAGAATGGGCATCGAGAACTTGAAGGCAGTGTGAGGGATGATCTTTTGTGACTACTCAAGTTCAATTCATCTTGGATATATCAGTCTCTCTCTTTCTCCCTCTCTCTCTATATGTATAAAAGGATGAGGTTCAATGAAAAAAATTGTTAGTGAAATAAATAAGAATACATCATATCAATAAGATTTGATAATCTAACTGTCGAAATGAGTGAAGAATTATGCACTAGTAACGAATATACTGAACATTTTATCTTTCATTCAAATCACATGGGCCTCACCACTCACATACTATATCTCCAACATCATGCATGCGCCCCTTCCTCACCCATCTCTCTTCACAATAACCCTCATCCGTCACAGTGCCGCCAAAAGTTAAGGTCTTTGTTAGATACAAATTTTATGGTCAAAGTGACCATATAATTTTTTTTTTTAACTCAAAAAAATCTAACTCAAATACAATTAACTCAACTATTCTCAATAATATCAATATAATTAATTAATATCAATCAATTGTCCTTACTCAACTAACTAATTATTTCTCTATTCACATAATTTTAACTACCAATCACATATCTCATATCACATCAACCAAATTGATTATTCATCCACTCACATAATTATAACTACCTATTACTTTCAATCGCATGTCTCGTACTTTTATGTCAAATCAACTTTAATAATTATATTTTAAATATTATATTATTTTAATATAAACTTAGAATTTCACTCTAACCTAACTAAATTATTTTTTTTTAATTAACTCTGGTTATCCAACAAATTATTTTTTTTTTAAATTAATTATAATTACCCAATAAATCAAATAAAAACCAAAATAACTTATATCCAATCACTTTTAAGGCGTTACTAGATATTTGAGTTTTTCGAATAAGCTTATTGATGAAAATATTTGCTCATTCTGCTCTATTTAATTTTCAACATAAAATGACATATGCGAAATTGATGACCATAAAGAAAACAATAAAGATGGAGGGAGAAATGATTATGCGATGATGTGCGAATTTGTTTACTGTGGATGATTTAATTTACTTAATATTAAAAATATAAATAATTTATATTTTAGAAGTAATTATAATTTTAACATACATAAGAATATTATAATATATGGATGCCCTCATAAATAATTTTGCATATTAATAGCTAATTACTAAGAACTAATTTCACCAAACACTATTTACATACCACTCATATAATTCATTGATCAAACCAGCTCCCACAATCCGTTTGTCAAAATAACTCGCACAATCCGCTAAGAGTTAATCGATGATATTCAAAAGTATTTGCAATTTCATGCTTGTTTTGTTATCCCAAAATATTTGTAGTTTTTGGTTTACCGTGCTTGTTATCAATGATATAAAATGAATATAAATAAAATATATACAATGAGATATACTCAACGGGCCGAGTCGGGTGGGAGTTTGCCCGGCGAACCAAAAAGCCCATTGACCATGGATTTTGGCCCTGCCCGGGATCGGTGTTGTGTGTTTTGGGTGGTCTGGTTCCGGACAAAGCACTGTTAGGTTGCCAAAGAAACTCAAATTCAAATTTGAATATGAATTTTAGAATTCGTTGTGGGTCTCGGGTGGGGTCGGATGCGGATTCGTTGTGGACTGTAACGAACGAATTTTCAATTTCGGCTATTGGAATTTGTGACCGTTG